TCTATGTTGGTTGACCAGGAGGTGTCATCTCTCTGAATAGGTTGGATATCAATGCCCTTAAGTGTAAATATAACTAAATCACAAAACTTACTTTGTGTATTGTGTAACTGCCCTTGTATTTGATAGTAGAAGCTATGGTGGTGATCTGGACCTTTCACACCAGACTCCTTTTTTTTATTTTTCGCCTCATACTCCTTGGCGGTTTAAGTATGCTTCAAGAATCTTTTGGAACGGGGACACTTTACGTCAACGAGGCCATTTGTTCCAAGTAGTAAATCAGGGAATGCTGCTAGAAATCTGTCCCTCATATTAACAAATAAACCGCACTTCTGCACAGTGCAGTTTTCCTGTTCCACGTGCAGTTGTCAAGCAACATCCTCATTGATTCTACCATATACTGTTGCGGGTGAAGAAAGTCTTTGGGTGCACGATACTTGAAACAAGTCTGCACTGTACGTTGTGGTTCGACACCCACTAATGTCGTCGTCCTTATAGAGCCTCATCATTTAATCATTACCTCGTCACCTCATATTGCTCTTCATCAACAGTAAGTACAATAGGCTACCGCCACATTACAATCCAAGAATTGAAAAATTAAGTCGTTCAGTCCTTCAACAAGTTTATAATTTATATAATGTTATTACGTTACATTACCTCGAGACGATCGACGTCCATTGTCGATCTTCAAATACTTATACCTGTATATAACTTAAACGCACAAGGGGGGTTGGTGGCCGAGTGCATGGTCTAGCGCACACAAGCTCGGAGCACTGGGAGCGAAAGCTCGCGCTGCAGAACCCACCCCGCCCCTGCCCGTTTCGATCTGGAAGAGCATCGTACCGGCGTGCGGTCGTGCATCACTACTGCGTGGCGCACGTTAAAGACCCCAGGGGTGCTATGTTGCGCTTTTTGCACTCCCAGGAGACTTGGAAGAGGAAAGTGACGTCAACGACACAGCAAATGCTGATTGTATGTTGACAGAAGAAAACGAAATCAACACCCAATCTGCGTTTGCTGTGTCGTTGACGTCACTTCCCTCTCCCTAGTCTCCTGGGAGTGCAAAAAGCGCAACATAGCACCCTAGGGCCCGTTTGCTCGAAGCACTAACCGCGGCTAAAGTTAGCCGCAGTACGGGATTTTGAAATCACGTGACTGGCTCGGTAGGGATGCGGGGAAACATGGTGGCGCCCCAGCGAATGAGCGCCGCTGGCTTTGGAAATAATATGTCGTTGTAGCTGCAATATCGAGCGCGTTAGTTAGCAACGAATGGTGCAGGAGGCTTTCGCTTTGCCTTACCTCAATTAATCCGCAAAGCATGGGCAATGACATCGGCGCATTTTTTAGATAGTGTTTCGATTCTGGGCATTCCTAAGCCCAAATGAACGCGAAAATTGTCGGCATGGCAACGTCTTTGGAAAGCGGATTGCCTTGACTCAATCGGCCGGGTATTGCTAGCACACAAAAGCAGACAGCGTCCCAACAGACTTGCTTCTAAATTATCTAAGCATCGCGAGGAGAACGCTGGAAGTGTAATTCTACGGTCCACGCGCGCTGGCCTTTCTCCTATAAAAGATTCGAAGTAAAAAATCATAATAAGGCTTTAACGAACGCGCGTGCAAGGCAAATTTAGTTTTATACTTTTTTGCTTTAGAACGGTTGCTACTGCAGACGCCAGCACGTGCGACGCGATCTACTACAGTCGCAGCATGCACCTCGGTGCTTGGATAATTTAGAAAAAAGGTCTGTTGGGACGCTGTCTGCTTTTGTGTGCTATCAACAATTTGCTTTCCAAAGACGTTGCCATGCCGACAAATATCGCGTTCATTTAGGCTTAGGAATGGCCAGAATCGAAAGACTATCTAAAAAATGCGGCGATCTCATTGCCCATGTTTTACGGTTTAAGTGAGGTAAAGCAAAGCGAAAGCCTCCTGCACCATTCGTTGCTGACTAACGCGCCCTATATTGCAGCCACAACGACATATTATTTCCAAAGCGAGCGGCGCTCACTCACTGGGGCCCCGCCATGTTTCCCCGCATCCCTACCGAGCCAGTCACGTGATTTTAAAAAAAATCCCTCTCCTAGGTACTGCGGCTAACTTTAGCCGCGGTTAGCGCTTCGAGCAAACGGGCCCAGGTTTTCGGTTGTACCGCACTGGCTAAATTGCGCATCTACAGCTGAGACACCAGACGCCCACTAAGGCAGACTAACTTCCGGCTGAATAAACATACACACAACAATTTGCAATTAGACGCATAATAACAAAGAACACGGCGTGCCGCCTCTTTTCTTTGGATGCCTTTTTTTTTTTAAACCAGCGCAAGCTCGTGCGTTCTCTCTTTTCAAACGGTTAGAACGGTCGCGTATAAAACCCGCGTTTCTCCTACCCGCCCGCTTCCTCGTCTCATTATCTGTATTTGGTTATAACTAAATAAGCTATAATAATGGTGTATTATTCATATTTACTTTCAGTTTCAGTCAGGGAAAAGGAGTTTCGCGGGAACTAGAGCCAATAAATGAGCTGCGCTTAGAGTATCGGCACTCTCTTCCCCGACAGTGTTGTGAACGCCGCCATTCTGGTGCTTGTGCAGAGCAGGCGCAACTGCCGATCGTCATGATTCAAAAGTGCGACATCCTCAGCATTAGATTCGGTGTTAGGAAGCTCATGTAATGTTGCTTTGCTTTGTCGCAAACTGCTTGAAGTGGGGGACGGAAAATCGTTTCTTGTGATTTCAGATAAAGCTTCAAATAACTGGCAACCATAATTTTAAGCCATACTGAGGTCAAGCGTCGCTACTCTGAAGCGTAGCTTATTCAATAACCCAATCTTGTTCAAGAGGCTTGTAATACTTAGGGCGCCTCAATGTCCTTCTGTTTAGGGTGATGCCACCCTTTGTAGTACCCGATGCCGACAGCACGCGCTCACGGGGAAAATACAAAGAAATCGACGAAAACAAAATGTCGCAATTAGCGGCGAGATGTTTTGGTGGCGCCCTCCTCTGGTTCCCCCTTGTGACGTCATTACCTTGCGAACAACAAGTTCGATGGTGTTTGTAAATAGCATGGTGGAAGCTTGAAATCGTTGCACTCTCAAAGGAACACTGCCAACACCGTCAAAAGTAAAGTTCTTTCGTTCCTCTTATTTCCGTCGATGCTAAATCCCCTTTCCTACGTCATAGTCAGCGTTCGACCAATCGTGGAAGGCCGACCACAGCGACGCTTTCGGTCGCGCACGGGGCTAATAGCACAATCAGCGCCACGAGCGCGTGCAGGGACACGCTTTTTCACGCGCTTCTGAACAAAAAATAAAAATAAAAGTGGGGGACAAAATGGCCAGATGTCGTGCTCCACCCTAAGCAAAGGGCACATGAAGGCACCCCAGTAATACCTGGAGGGGCCATGACGTAAGCCCCGCGGATTCCACAAGCCACTACCTTTTGACACCTGCCTCTTCTTCATTGTTCCCGCTTGTGCCAGTAAATTAGCTACGGTTCAGAGTAACGACGCTTGGCCATATTTTGGCTTAAAATCATGGTTGCCAGTTATATGAAGCTTTATCTAAAATCACAGGTAACGCTTTTCCGTCCCTCACAAATGTTTAAGCAACCCGCGACAGAGCATTGCAATATTGCATCAGCTTCCTAGCACCGCATCTAATGCTGAGGAAGTCGTACTTTTGGATCACGATGATCGGCAGTTGCGTTTGCTCTGAGCAAGACCCAAAATGGCGGCGCCCAAAACAATTTTGGGGAACGGAGTGCCGATACTTTAAAGCTCATTTAGTGACTCTAGGCATAAAGTGAACTCGGGTGTATTCTTTTCCTCTTCGTCTTCATTGTTTATTGATTTCAATCATATCGAATAATGAACACATTATATCACGCTACGCTTGTGTAATTATTTGTCTTAGATTTATTAGCCTGACCCAGTACTTAAACCATACAGTTATCGATAGTAAATCTTCCAATATATTTTTTTAATGTGAGGGTAAAAAGACACGGAGATTGATGATGATACAGACGCCAACGCCGCCCTCGGAAATTTTTTGAACATTAGATATCAGCAGTTTGTCTGCCATCCGCCAGGTAGCGCAACAAAACACCCAAACAGTTTTTAATTGTTTTTAATATTAGCTAAGCTCTACACCTATTAAGAAACCAAAGCAATATCATTGTGAAAATTTAATACATCGCAATGTATATCTATTCCAAACAATAAATACTATTAGATGCCAATAAATCTGTTTGATGTCTAAAAAAGATATGCGTCAAAACAGGTAAGTTTGAAACGCTCCTGGAGCGTTATGACTTGGAAAATGAAAAAAAGCCATCGTCCACCTCTTGGGCAACTATTGTAGCTCTAAATGTTATAAAAGATATTATCATAGTTTAATTATTTCCTCGGCGGCATTTGAACTACCATGACTCGAAGCATAAAAAAGTGCTACGTTTCATATAAAATATCTAAACAAATAAATTTTACACACCATTAAATTTTTTTCTGCATATTACCGATTATAAGCACTACATCTGTAGCTAATTTCATTGCCCTAGCGCGAGTCATTAAAAACATATTTGTGCTGAAAATGGTCAATTTTAGGGCAATATTTGGAGAGATGAAAAAAACAAACTAGTGCAAATACCAAAAAAGTGTATCGTTACATTCTGCTCCGACATCATCTTAACAAAACTTCTATATTGGAACTGTGCTATCTTTAATGGATCGTTCATAAAACATGAACTAGCGGAGCAAGTGAGGGTCCACGCCATCATATTCGCAACGCTACAAATGCGCATGAACAGTAAAAACCAACACATACATAGTATCAAATGAAAGAGGATTGCATTGCCTTTCGAATGACATCAACCTCGCAAAACAGTATTCAAAAGGAGATGAGTAATGACCTGCCGAAAAGTACCTAAACTGCCACATTCAGTGGGACCGTGGCCTTAAGCACAAAAAAAAAAATTAAGTATTCTGAACAATAGTTATTTACACTTACACTTCACGATGAGTCGAACGACGCCGCTCTTGAAACTGAAGGGAGGAGGATGGTTGGTCTTGAGCACCTGACCGAGGGCTGGAATGGAATACGTACAATCTGACCCCCAGAATTATACCACGAAGACGTGAGGCATGCTTAACATCTTCATCGACCAATCATGGTGCTTAAGCCGTTGCATTCATTTAGTTTACAATCTCCATCCTCCAAGCCCATGATACGCCAATAAAGCCGCGATCCCACTGCCGATACATCTTACAAAAGACAATCTGGTGACACCGTCGAGGCGTGTTTCTTGCTTGAATTAGTCTCGTCACATTGGTCATACAAGAACTGTCTGCAAACATGTTCGAGCAGCACATATGTGTACAAGGTGGCGCAAGTTACCGCCCGTTACAAAGGGTATAACCCTTAACATCCACCCATCCATTCATCCGTGTGAAGAAATACATGCTTCGAACATGCATGAGGCGTATCCGCAGACTATTGTCATCGTGTCTGCAGAAAACACCGTATCTTTTGTACGCTGTATGAACAGCAGCGCGACTTGGGCTTTTGATACTTGCATCTGTGGTATACCAACTCACCTGCCACAGCGAGGACAGGCAGCAGGATGATCCGGACTGTCCTGCCTGAAGACATCCTCAGCCTTCCATCTCCTGGCGTCCGCGGCCTCTTAAAAAGGACATCCTGGCTGAGTCACGTGACTTCAGCCAACTCTCCTGGCGTCTGCGTGTCGTCCCACAATCTGCCAGATGGACGAGCCGCCCGTTAGGCACGGCCATTGGCTCCACTTGGGTCAGTGGAGCAGCGAGGATGGCCCCGTGGAGGAGACTGTGCGCGATCTTCGCTTTGTAGGGCATCCCTGCACTTCCAATCACGGGTTCTTTTTTTCCACGACTGGCTGCGGATTGCAAATTTCCGAATGGATTCGTGTCGTTAGTCGCTCCGGGTTATTTCGAGCAGCGGCGTTTCCTCTCCCGATATTTCCCGGAAACTTTTTTATCTTTATCGTGTTGTAATTTTGTTTTTGTATTTTGGTCTGTACGGACGCATAGTGCGGTGATATCCGTCCTCCTTGTTAACGTAACGTCTTATATATGCAGCTTCGCGCGATTCTACCGCTGCGATGCTGAACAAAGTAATCTGGTGCACGACTTTCATAATTTACCCGCCGAGAAAATAAAAGAAACGAACGAACACACACATCTGTGAGCCTTATTTGCTTTTTCTTGTTAGTATCACCAGTCTCGTGGTAAACTACGAAAACCTAGGCTCTAGGCTATGGGATGAATGCCTTGTAAATACGAGAATCGTTTCTTTTTTTAACATCGGGTGAACTGGGAAAAAAGTTAAGAACAGCCGATTGAAACTATCTGTAGTAACTTCTCCACGCACGTTTGCAGATTAAGGCACTTATGACGGGGCGCAAGCTTTTGGATAATCTCTCCGAAAAAAGTTTGGCGCCTGGATAATTACTTGTACGTCATTACAAGTAATAAAATTAGTTGTAATCGATTATTTTTGGAGAAACTTTGTAATCACATGATTACATTTATTAGAAAGTAATCACAATAGTAATCTCATTACTTTTGGAAGTATTAAAATAACTTTTAAACGTTACTATTTTCCCCGCCTCTTTCCAATGCCCCTCTTTGTTTCTACAAGTTTCCTACCAAAGAATCCACAAACAAAGTCTCCGACAAAGGGTTTCTTTACAAACGTTAGAGGATTAGAAGATAAGTAGTTTATATTTCTCTGATACCAGTCTAATAATGAACTGTATGAAACGTTTTTAAACCGGTAGAAACATTTGTTTTGAAAATCGGAAGTAATCAGAAGAGGACCCTTTTCAACCGAGAGTAATTGGAATTGGAATCGATCACATTTTTCGAGTAACTTGTACAAAACTGGTTATCGTTGCAGTCATTTCCTCACGCGTCAGCGAAACCGTCATTCGCCACAGAGGGCCTGGCTGTACTGCAGAATTAGCATGGCGGAAGCTGCATGAAGTTTCGGGAGGGACGAACACACGTTCATGACGATAGGGGTCGGGAAAGAACGTCCGTGGCGACCGGCGGCCATTGTTAAGCTCGTGATGGAACGACTGTGTCGCAATTTTGAGCAGGTATCCTTCGCTAATGCGCACCAGTTCTTTTTTTGTTGACGACTATCAACTTGGGGAACGCCTTCCCAACATTTACCAAGCGTCCGTTCCAAGTCTTCGACACCGCATCCCATGCGAGTGGTGGTGCATTTATTAAAGCACGAAATACACCAATCCCAAAAATTTTGTCCGTCCGTCCGTCCATCCGTCCGTGCACTTTCCACTAAATTTAGCGGGGAAAGAAGCTTCACAAGACGTCACCTGATGTCACGTGACATTTACACCTTGGGAAAATTTACGGCACGTGAACTGTACGTCAACTCAGTTTCCCCGTAAATTTAGCGAGAAAATTCACGTGTTGTGGCCAAAAAATGTATCCAGTCTACCTATGCTGGAACGCAAAACTAAATGATGTATAAAACTGCATTGGGCACTGATTGGCTATTCTCTCGGGTCACGTGACATGACGGTGAAATGTAGTTTTTCCCTATGCAGTTCGAGCTATGCTCGTGAAATGATGCAGTTGGCGGTGACGTCAAAATGTCGTCACGATGCACTTCGACGATGCAGTTAACAGAGTGGTCGAGACGAAGCCGGAGATCACTCTGCATCCTAAAAAATGGCGGCCCTAACATAGGCATCTCTACTGTTGGCTTCGCCAGCGGATCGAGTTTTTAGAGATCACCGGGATGCTTTCGAGACGAGCGATGCGAGGTTTGTGGGCGAATACCGGCTGACCAAAGGGGGGACTCGCTGGCTGTGCAACCAGCTTCGCGGAAAGCTCCAGCGTTGTCGTGAAGGGCCCCGTGTGCTGACGGTCGAACAACAAGTCCTCGCAGCTCTACGTTTTTACGCCGCTGGCGGCTTCCAGGGAACCGCCGGGAGCGACGAAAACATTGGTGTTCACCAGTGCCCTGTGAGTCGCGTACTTGGTGATGGCACAAACCCTATCACCGATTGCCTCGGATCGAACTGGCTGGGTTTCCAACAAATTCAAGCAGAGAAGGCGTTCACAAAAAGGAAGTTCTTCGAGCGATGCAAGTTCAGCGGCGTTATCGATAAATATTCTAAATACTCTTACACGATTTAATACGATTGTGTTTTCATTTGAGTGCACCCCATATAGGCGATTTGGCTGAGCGAAAAGCCAAGCAAGCATTGGTGACAGGCTTAAGTTGAGCTAATTCGTTCATACTTCAGGTAGAGAGAGAGAGAGGTATGCTTTATTTTAAAGCAACTACTTCAGGTAAGGTCAGCTGAATTAGAATAAACATGCACATAAAGAAAAGACCATACACACCGTGGGACTAACAACTGATTTTTTTTTCCTCCTCTTCTACTTGAGGGGAATATTCTCTTTTCTTCTTTTTTGCTTTCTACTTCACCGAACATTTAACCCCCGATGGAACATTTTTTCTTTCTCGTGCAGCACGAGAGAAGTTGCACTAACGCAGTCATAGTCAAAAAGTAAAATGTGTCGTTAGTTGTTTATACAGCAGGAGGTTAGTCTGCTTGAACATGGCGACATTGTTACCCACTGTATACATGAGAAATTTAGCCAGTGCAGTACAACCGCTAGCCTGGGGTCTTTAACGTGCATCAGGCAGTAGTGATGCACGACCGCACGCCGGTACGATGCTCATCCAGATCGAAGCTGGCAGGGGCGGGGATTGAACCCAGGATCCCTGGGTTCTGCAGCGCGAGCTTTCGCTCCACGTGCTCCGAGCTGGTGTGCGCTAGCCTACTCGGCGGCGATTCTCCGAAATTCCCTGTAGGGAAAAAAGAAACGATGTAGTTTCAACTGAATCGCCACTGTTCGGCGACGTCACCGGACACCGTCACGGTGCAGTGCTCTTCCGATGTAGTTTGTTGGCGATGGAGATTAGGCTCCTCCCACTGGCGACGTCACGATGCAGTTTCTCCACCGCTTTTTCCGTCATAGACAGACAGTTTCCCCGCTAAATTTAGCAGGAAATCGACGCCACATGACCTACACACCGTTACCCGCTAAATTTAGCGGGAAAATGCACGTGTGACCTCGATGCCAATCCAGTTGCCCCGCTAAATTACGTGGGGGAAATTGACATCACGTGACCTTACGTCACGTGACCTATACAACCATTCAGTTTCCCCGCTAAATTTATCGAGAAAATATAGGTCACGTGACACACAAATTTCCTATAATGAATTTCAGGCGTTGGTGGGACTTTGAAGGTAAATGTTGCTGATAATTTTTTTTATTATTATTTACATTTTGAATTTAATATCTACTTATTTATTCGTACTTTTTTTCATTTATTTATATATTTTTATGACATCGTTTGTTTTTATTTATTTGTGTGATAAATATTCATTTTCCCTTTTTATACATTCAATTATTTATTTATTTATTTGCGTTATTTACATATAGATTCCCTCAATGTAATACACTGAAGAGTGCGGATAGCTCATAAAAACACTGTATAAAGTGAACGGATTAAGATGATTGGCCATCTTTATATGCCGGCTGCAGCAGCTAAATGTGGCCAATCAGTCGAGTGCAAGCGTCCAAAAGGCAGCTGACGTCAAGTTTCGCAGCACTTCAGACTTCGTGTACTTTCGAAACTCTAGAGTCTAGACGATGATCTCTTGCACTGAGAAGTTGTCTGACAAGCAGAAAAAGCTTCTTTTCAAGGGACAGTGAACTTGACACTGGTGGAGCTTGAGCGCTCTTCCAGCACAATAGAGGGCGATCCCAAACACAATCTGAAGAGTACACTCTAAAAAAAATCCGTTCTTGAAAGGTTCTTCGCCGCCCCAAGAACTCTTTTTCCTCGTGAAGAACTGTTTTCGCTCAAACAGTGTCGCCCCCTGGCGCAGCAGAAAGGCGACCGGGCGATGAAGAACGTTTGCCTGGAAAAAAGTTCTTCATAACGTGTTTTTTTTTTTTTTTTAGAAGAAGAAGCGGTTGCGCGCGAAGGAGTGCCGGTGGTGCTGCTGCGCCGCGCCGTTTGCCTGCGTGAGATTCTGTAAAGGCGAAAGTAACGGCGGCCAACAATTCCGGGTTCGCTGTTTACTGTTTCGACCTGGTTCTGTTGGCGGCATTCAATGAATGGGGTCACGGTGCGAGAACATACAGATGTGTCTAGATGGAAGCTCCAGGACGTGTCAGACTGGTTGACAAAGCAAAACCTTGGAGACTTCGCCCAGAGATTCGAAGGTAAGCAGAATGCTCCGTCCTCTTTGTTTGTGTTGGTTGGCGGTGTCGGTTTCGTCTCGCGTTTTCAGTTCCCAAGTTGAGGGCAACGCCGGTAACGGTGGCTGATCGGGGTCTCGATGGTGCTATCCTTCCCTACTTCCATGTGCACGCGAATATTTTTTTATGAAACTTGTAGTGCAGTGTGGATATTTGGACATGTTTTGTGAGCGAGGAACTGCTTCCGGGTCTTTCGGCGATTGGTGAGATTTGTCGTCGTTTGTGCGATTTCAGCATGAGCGGATATGAGGGTTCAAAGTTTTCGCAGTGCTACCATATCGGGAGTCATCTGACAAATCA